CTCACTCATGATAGATGGCGGTCAGTCCCTCAGCTTAAAGCAGAGGAATGTGACCAGAATTTATATACTAAAGCAGAGAGCAATAAAATTCTGTGCTGGAAAAATGCAACTTGTCCTCATTTTTGCAGCGGTCGTCTTCTTGCGTTACTCCCAGCGTCAGTTTGTGAAAGCTTCCCAGCAATCAGCAAAATACTTCTATCTTTATTTTAGCTGAAGTTGATATGTATAACGTGGAAAGATATATTAAACCACAAATTAGGGAATTAAAACATAATTGGTTACTGTATGTGTAAAAGAACGGTATAATAATAATACTACTACTACTACTACTACTACTACTACTACTACTACTACTACTACTAATAATAATAATAATAATAATAATAATAATAATAATAATAATAATAATAAATCTATTTCTACAAGTACATGACACAATTTATACAGATCATAGCTGACATCAGTGATATTTCGGGCAACTTAAGTTAATTTTGTCTCCCATGATGCGACCCACACCAGTCGGCTAACACCCAGGTACCTAATTACTGCTAGGTGACCAGTGAGAGCAGGTGTCTTAAGGAAACACGCCCAATGTTTCCAATCGTTCCGGGGATCGAACCATGGACCTCAATGTGTGAGATGAGCAAGTTTAGGCAACATTATCGGTAATTATCTATGTAATATGTCATGATCTCTTACTAATAAAAATACGTATATCAGACATATTAAACAAATATATATATATATATATATATATATATATATATATATATATATATATATATTATATATATATATATATATATATATATATATATATATATATATTAGGTAGTAGGTTGGTAGACAGCAACCACCCAGGGAGGTACTACCGTCCTGCCAAGTAAGTGTAAAACGAAAGCCTGTAATTGTTTTATATGATGGTAGGATTGCTGGTGTCCTTTTTTCTGTCTCATGAACATGCAAGATTTCAGGTACGTCTTGCTACTTCTACTTACACTTAGGTCACACTACACATACATGTACAAGCATGTATATACACACACCCCTCTGGGTTTTCTGCTATTTTCTTTCTAGTTCTTGTTCTTGTTTATTTCCTCTTATCTCCGTGGGGAAGTGGAACAGAATTCTTCCTCCGTAAGTCATGCGTGTTATAAGAGGCGACTAAAATGCCGGGAGCAAGGGGCTAGAAACCTCTGTATATATTACTAAATGTAAAAGGAGAAACTTTCGTTTTTCCTTTTGGGCTACCCCGCCTCGGTGGGATACGGCCGGTGTGTTGAAAGAAAGATATATATATATATATATATATATATATATATATATATATATTATATATATATATATATATGTCGTGCCGAATAGGCAGAACTTGCGATCTTGGCTTAAATAGCAACGCTCATCTTGCCATATAGGACAAGTGAAAATTTGTGTTTGCAATAATTTCGCCAAAATCATTCTGAACCTAACGAAAAAAATATATTTCACTGTGTTTGCTTAGTATTAAATTATTGTAAACAAATCTAAAATATATTTAGTTGGGTTAGGCTAAAATAAATTGTTCTTGTTATAATAAGGTTAGGTAAGTTTTCTAAGATTCTTTTGGTGCAAATTTAAAAATTTTTACATTAACATTAATGAAAAACATATACCTTTAAACGTATAGAAGAAAATTTTAGAAAGGACTGAATTTTTAATGAGTTCTTGCTAATTGACCAGTTTTACATATTCGGCACGATATATATAATATATATATATATATATATATATATATATATATATATATATATATATATATATATATTATATATATATATATATATATTATATATATATATATATACATATATATATATATATATATATATATATTTATATGCAATAAAATCCCAGTAAGCAGGTGATTTCAGAATATGCATAACAACCACTGTGAAAGGTTAATGAAACTCCATGCACTTTCGTGACTACTCACATTATCAAGGAACAATAAAAGTGATGCATCAAAGGATGGCATATAAAGGGTCTAGCCCACACCTCACCATCACATCCCACAACAAAGCAACACCTGATGCGCGACTCATAAGAAAGAGAACACTGCAGTGTTCTCTTTCTTATGAGTCGCTTTAAACCACAGGACAACCCAACCCTAAGAATGGCGCAGCCAGCACACAGCTAGCTGTTGGGCCGCCATCCGAGGGCATACGGAGGTGTGGGAGCTTCTAAGCTAATTTCATTCTCATCCCTGTTTGGTGTACTAGCCTCACGAGCAGCATTTATATATTATCCTGTGGTTTAAAGCGTCATGTGGTTCTTGCTTACCATGAGGCAGGCCAGTACAACATGGGTTCGAATCCTTGGCTAGCGCAGTGTTGTTATTGATCAATACCACTCGTTCGTGGTTACAATAATATATATATATATATATATATATATATATTATATATATATATATATATATATATAATAATATATATATTATATATATATATATATATATATATATATATATATATATATATATATATATATATATATATATATATTATATATTATATATATTTTTTATTATCACACTGGCCGATTCCCACCAAGGCAGGGTGGCCCGAAAAAGAAAAACTTTCACCATCATTTACTCCATCACTGTCTTGCCAGAAGGGTGCTTTACACTACAGTTTTTAAACTGCAACATTAACACCCCTCCTTCAGAGTGCAGGCACTGTACTTCCCATCTCCAGGACTCAAGTCCGGCCTGCCGGTTTCCCTGAATCCCTTCATAAATGTTACTTTGCTCACACTCCAACAGCACGTCAAGTATTAAAAACCATTTGTCTCCATTCACTCCTATCAAACACGCTCATGCATGCCTCCTGGAAGTCCAAGCCCCTCGCACACAAAACCTCCTTTACCCCCTCCCTCCAACCTTTCCTAGGCCGACCCCTACCCCGCCTTCCTTCCACTACAGACTGATACACTCTTGAAGTCATTCTGTTTCGCTCCATTCTCTCTACATGTCCCAACCACCTCAACAACCCTTCCTCAGCCCTCTGGACAACAGTTTTGGTAATCCCGCACCTCCTCCTAACTTCCAAACTACGAATTCTCTGCATTATATTCACACCACACATTGCCCTCAGACATGACATCTCCACTGCCTCCAGCCTTCTCCTCGCTGCAACATTCATCACCCACGCTTCACACCCATATAAGAGCGTTGGTAAAACTATACTCTCATACATTCCCCTCTTTGCCTCCAAGGGCAAAGTTCTTTGTCTCCACAGACTCCTAAGTGCACCACTCACTCTTTTTCCCTTATCAATTCTATGATTCACCTCATCTTTCATAGACCCATCCGCTGACACGTCCACTCCCAAATATCTGAATACGTTCACCTCCTCCATACTCTCTCCCTCCAATCTGATATTCAATCTTTCATCACCTAATCTTTTTGTTATCCTCATAACCTTACTCTTTCCTGTATTCACCTTTAATTTTCTTCTTTTGCACACCCTACCAAATTCATCCACCAATCTCTGCAACTTCTCTTCAGAATCTCCAAGAGCACAGTGTCATCAGCAAAGAGCAGCTGTGACAACTCCCACTTTGTGTGTGATTCTTTATCCTTTAACTCCACGCCTCTTGCCAAGACCCTCGCATTTACTTCTCTTACAACTGATATATATATATATATATATATATATATATTATATATATATATATATATATATATATATATATATATATATATATATTATATATATATGTCGTGCCGAATATGTAAAACTGGTCAATTAGAAAGAACTCATTTAAAATTAAGTCCTTTCTAAAATTTTCTCTTATACGTTTAAAGATATATTTTTTTCATTAATGTTAATGTAAAAATTTTAAATTTTGCTCCAAAAGAACCTTAGAAAACTTACCTAACCTTATTATAACAAGAGCAATTTATTTTAGCCTAACCTAACTAAATATATTTTAGATTTGCTTACAGTAATTTAATACTAAACAAACAGAGTAAAATATATTTTTTTTCTTAGGTTCAGAATGATTTTGGCGAAATTATTGCATACACAAATTTTCACTTGTCCTATATGGCAAGATGAGCGTTGCTATTTAAGCCAAGATCGCAAGTTCTGCCTATTCGGAACGACATATATATATATATATATATATATATATATATATATATATATATATATATATATATATATATATATATATATATATATATATATATATATTATAATATATATATATATATATATATATATATATAATATTTATATATGTATATATATATTTATAAATCGAGATTCACTCATGTTAAACCGTTTTGGAGCGTAGCTCCTGGGCCTTTTGTTTATTCCTATGCTCTTGCGCTGCCTTTCACATCAAGGATGTGAGGTACAAATAGACTAGCTGCTTCGGTGGAAAAGAAAATATCTGCGAGCATGTCACGGGTACCGTGAAGATGTGCTGTGAGGATGCGCTGTGAGAATGTGCTGTGAAGGTATTCTCTGAGGATGTGCTGTGAAGATATTCTCTGAGGATGTGCTGTGAAGATATTCTCTGAGGATGTGCTGTGAAGGTATTCTCTGAGGATGTGCTGTGAAGATATTCTCTGAGGATGTGCTGTGAAGATATTCTCTGAGGATGTGCTGTGAAGATATTCTCTGAGGGTGTGCTCTAAGGGTGTGTTTGAGGATGTATTACACTCTGGGGATGTACTTACACTAACTTAATAGTATTTGCAAGTTATTGTTAATAAAGAGGAATCGATAAAGATAAATAACGTAGTAAATTAAAATTAGGCTGCTTCCTGAGGTTTACCACAGACAGGAGATCGATGTTTCGTTCCCGGTTCTTCTCCCTAATGCAAGTAATTGTGTGTGAAACGCTGGCGGCCAGTTTTTCTCTCTGACTCACCGGATGACTTCGGTGATCCAAAACTTTTGATTGCTCCGAAGCAACATTTTTAATATATGTTTTTCCTCTCCCTGCAGACTCTGCCTCTGCCCAACGGACCAGTGAGCAGAAGAAACGCGGACGGAGGCATATTTGGCACGGCTCCCCGAGTGTCTTCTGACGAAGGAAGAGCTGGTCGGAGTCTCGGAGGCAGCCTCAAACGTGTGTGTAGCAGCGCTGGGAAGTTAAGATCGGGAGGAGGAGGAGGAAGCGCTGCTGGCGCTGAAGGAGGCGCAGCAGGAGACGCAGCCAGGGCAAGCAGTGGCAGGGACAGTAGGGGAAGCTTCAGAGATACCACCACATCGTCTACGCCCGTCGCAGCTACGCCAGGCACAGCGACGCCCACGGGGTACAGACGAACGACAGGCAACCAGAGAACAGCAGCGGTAGTAACAACCTCAGAACCACCACCACGATACCAGATCTCTGAGTATACCTTTGAGAGGGAACAACCAGACTCACCTTTCTCTGACGAGAAGGACAGCGAGGAGAAGAAGAAAGGTGAGTTTTAGCAGGCTGTTGTTGTTGGCATGTTATTAGTACTAGCATGTTGTTGTACAAGCAGGTTCTTGGTACTAGCAGGGTGTTTTACTAGCAGGTTCTTGGTACTAGCAGGGTGTTAGTACTAGCAGGTTGTTGTACAAGCAGGTTCTTGGTACTAGCAGGGTGTTTTACTAGCAGGTTCTTGGTACTAGCAGGGTGTTAGTACTAGCAGATTGTTAGTACTAGCAGGTTGTTGGTACTAGCTAGTTGTTGGTACTAGCAGGTTGTTGGTGCTAGCAGGGTGTTAGTACTTGTTGGTACTAGCTGGTTGTTGGTACTAGCAGGGTGTTTTACTAGCAGGTTCTTGGTACTAGCAGGGTGTTAGTACTAGCAGGTTGTTGGTACTAGCTAGTTGTTGGTACTAGCAGGTTGTTGGTGCTAGCAGGGTGTTAGTACTTGTTGGTACTAGCTGGTTGTTGGTACTAGCTGGTTGTTGGTACTAGCAGGGTGTTTTACTAGCAGGTTCTTGGTACTAGCAGGGTGTTAGTACTAGCAGGTTGTTAGTATTAGCAGGTTGTTGGTACTAGCTAGTTGTTGGTACTAGCAGGTTGTTGTTGTTGGCACGTTGTTAGTACTAGCTGGTTGTTGTACTAGCAGGTTCTTGGTACTAACTAGTTGTTGGTGCTAGCATGCTGTTGTTGTTGGCACGTTGTTAGTACTAGCTGGTTGTTGGTATTAGCAAGTTGTTAGTACTAGCAGGCTGTTGGTACTAGCTGGGTGTTGGTACTAACAAGTTGTTGGTACTAGCAGGTTGTTGTACTAGCAGGTTGTTGGTACTAGCAAGTTGTTAGTACAAAATTGGTTGTTGGTACTAGCAGGTTGTTGGTACTAGCAGGCTGTTGTTCTTGGCAGGTTGTTAGTACTAGCAGGTTGTTAGTACCAATAGGGTGTCGGCACTAGCAGGTTGCTGTTGGCAGGTTAGTATTAGCAGGTTGTTGGTACTAGCAGGTTGGTGGTACTGGCAGGTTGTTAGTACTAGCAGGTTGTTGGTACAAGCAAGTTGTTGGTATTGGCAGGTTGCTGTTGTTGGCAGGTTGTTAGTACTAGCAGGTTGTTGGTACTAGCTTGTTGTTGGTACTAGTAGGTTCTTGGTTTTGGCAGGTTGTTGGTACTGGCAGGTTGTTAGTGCTAGCAGGTTGTTGATACTAACAAGTTGTTAGTATTAGCAGGTTGTTGGTATCAGCAAGTTGTTGGTACTAGCAAGTTGATCGTATTAGCAGGCTGTACTAACAGGATGTTGGTACTAGCAGGTTGTTGTACTAGCAAGTTGTTAGTACTAGCAGGTTGTTGGTACTTACAGGTTGGTGTCGGCAGGTTGTTGGTTCTAGCAGGTTGTTGGAACTAGCAAATTGCTAGTACTAGCAGGTTGTTGGTACTAGCAAGTTGTTGGTACTAGCAAGTTGTTGGTGTTGGCAGGTTGCTACTAGCAGGCTGTTGTTGTTGGCAAGTTGCTAGTTCTAACAGGCTGTTGGTATTAGCATGCTATTGGTGTTGGGAGGTTGTTGGTACTAGCAAGCTGTTGGAGTGATAGTTGTTAAAGCAGGGCAGCAAGAAGAAGAATAAAGGTGAGTGTTAGCAGGCAGTCTGTGTTAGAAGACAGTCGTTACTAGCAGGCTGTTGGTGCTGGCACACTGTTCACGTCGGCAGGCTACTGGCGTTACCAAGTTGCTGTTTCCCTTACGACACCCATCCAGGTCAAACGACCGCCAAAGGAATGAGGAGTTATCAGTTCTGATCCGAGGAAAGGGGAAGATAGCTACAATACCCTTGGATTTAGAGCCTCTCACCATCATGAAAAAAAGAGGACGGAGGGTCAGAGAAATTTCCTCCCGTAATGGATTTAAGGATCGAATTATCAAGGCAATGAAATTCCCTTATCCAGTTACATTTTTTGCAATTTACAGATTACGAGTTTGGAATTACTTTTTCTATATTCTTGGTTATTACGTTACTATGTTCGAAAGTCGCACATTGTTCGAAACATCACACACTGTTCGAAACATCACACCCTGGTCGAAACATCACACACTGTTCGAAACATCACACACTGTTCGTAACATCACACACTGTTCGAAACATCACACACTATTCGAAACATCACACACTGTTCGAAACATCACATACTGTTCGAAACATCACACACACTGTTCGAAACATCACACACTGTTCGAAACATCACAATCTTTGAAACATCACACACTGTTCGAAACATCTCACACTGTTCGAAACATCACTCACTGTTCGAAACATCACACATTGTTCGAAACATCACACACTATTCGCAACATCGCACACTGTTCGAAACATCACACACTGTTCAAAACCATCGCATACTGTTCGAAACATCACACACTGTTCGAAACATCACACACTGATAGAAACATCACACACTGTTCCAAACATCGCACACTGTTAGAAACATCGCACACTGTTCAAAACATCGCACACTGTTAGAAACATCACACACTGTTCGAAACATCACACACTGTTCGAAACATCACACTCTTTGAAACATCACACACTCTTCGAAAGTCGCACATTGTTCGAAACATCTCACACTGTTCGAAACATCACACACTGATCGAAACATCACACATTGTTCGAAACATCACACACTGTTCGAAACATCGCAAACTGTTCGAAACATCACACTGTTCGAAACATCGCATACTGTTCGAAACATCACACACTGTTTGAAACACACACACTGTTAGAAACATCACACTTCGAAACATCACACCCTGTTCTAAACATCACACACTATTCGAAACATCACACACTGTTCGAAACATCACATACTGTTCGAAACATCAAACACTGTTCGAAACATCACACACTGTTCGAAACATCACACACTGTTCGAAACATCACAATCTTTGAAACATCACACACTGTTCGAGACATCACACGCTGCTCGAAAGTCGCATATTGTTCGAAACATCTCACACTGTTCGAAACGTCACACACTGCTCGAAACATCACACATTGTTCGAAACATCACACACTGTTCGCAAACATCGCATACTGTTCGAAACATCACACCGTTAGAAGCATCGCACACTGTTCGAAACATCGCACACTGTTAGAAACATCACACACTGTTAGAAACATCACACATTGTTCGAAACATCACACACAGTTCAAAACATCACTCTTTGAAACATCACACACTGTTCGAAAGTCGCACATTGTTCGAAACATCTCACACTGTTAGAAACATCACACACTGTTCGAAACATCACACACTGCTCGAAACATCCCAACTTTCAAACATCACACACTGTTCGAAACATCACACACTGTTCGAAAGTCGCACATTGTTCGAAACATCTCACACTGTTCGAAACATCACACACTGTTCGAAACATCATACTGTTCGAAACATCACACATTGCTCGAAACATCACACACTGTTCGAAACATCGCACACTGTTCGAAACATCACACACTGTTCAAAACATCGCATACTGTTCGAAACATCACACACTGTTTGAAACATCACACACTGTTAGGAACATCACACATTGTTAGAAACATCATATACTGTTGGAAACATCACACACTGTTCGAAACATCACACACTGTTCGAAACATCACACACTGTTCCAAACATCGCACACTGTTAGAAACATCGCACACTGTTCGAAGCATCGCACTCCGTTAGAAACATCACACACTGTTAGAAACATCACACACTGCTCAAAACATCCCACTCATTGAAACATCACACACTGTTCGAAACATCACATACTATTCGAAACATCACACACTGTTCGAAAGTCGCACATTGTCCGAAACATCTTACACTGTTCGAAACATCACACACTGTTCGAAACATCATACTGTTCGAAGCAACACACATTCTTCGAAACATCACACACTGTTCGAAGCACCGCACACTGTTCGAAACATCACACACTTTTCAAAACATCGCATACTGTTCGAAACATCACACACTGTTAGAAACATCACACATTGTTTGAAACATCACACACTGTTAGAAACATCACACACTGTTAGAAACATCACACACTGTTAGAAACATCATATACTGTTGGAAACATCACACACTGTTCGAAACATCACACACTGTTAGAAACATCACACACTGTTAAAAACATCGCACACTGTTCGAAACATCGCACACCGTTAGAAACATCACACACTGTTAGAAACATCACACACTGCTCGAAACATCACACACTATTCGAAACACCGCACACTGTTCGAAAGTCGCACATTGTTCGAAACATCTTACACTGTTCGAAACATCACAGACTTAGAAACATCACACGCTGTTCGAAACATCACACTGTTCGAAACATCGCACACTGTTAGAAACATCGCACACTGTTAGAAACATCACAAACTGTTAGAAACATCACACAGTTCCAAACATCGCACACTGTTAGAAACATCACACACACTGTTTGAAACATCACACAGTTAGAAACACACACTGTTCGAAACGTCACACACTGTTAGAAACATCGCACACTCTTCGAAACATCGCATACTGTTCGAAACATTGCACACTGTTCGAAACATAGCACACTGTTCGAAACATCGCACCCTGTTCGAAACATCGCACACTCTGCTCGATGGGAAAGTACGATTTAGATAGTAAGATGATATTGATGTTGAGTGATGAGCAGATTAAAGAATTTGGATATAAAAAGAAATTTGAATAATAAACAGTTATGATAAGGAGAAATTTGGATAGGAAGGAATGTGGATGGAGAAGAATTTAGATAGGGAGGAAATTAAATTGGGAGAAATTTGGATGGGAAGAGATTTGGATACGAATGTATTTAGGAAAGGGGATTCAGATACAGAGGGATTTTGAAACTGTTAAATAAATGAGTATGTGAGGATCAAAGTTGATTTAGATTATTCTTAAGATTGCCTGGTTTCTAGTCTCCTGACACCTGATGTTTCTGTTCACTTAGCAGCAAACAGGTACTCGGATGCTAGTCTTCTGGCACCTGATGTCCCTGTTCACCTAACAGCAAACAGGTACTCGGGTGCTAGTCTCCTGGCACCTGATGGTCCTGTTCACCTAGCAGCAAACAGGTACTCGGGTGCTTGTCTTACACATGCTGCTCCGGTTCACCTCTTGC